CGCATTTGCATGCTTTCGTTGTCGAAAGACCCAAAAAATCCAAACTAAGGCAAGATCAAATAAAAATGGGGATATTTGCTCAATATGGAATTATGATAGAAGAACTGCATGTGAAGACATCATTAAAGCAACAAACAACTTTCACATCAAATATTGCATTGGAATCAGCAGTTATGGAAGTGTGTATAAAGCTCGGTTGCCAAGTGGCAAAGTAGTTGCCTTGAAGACACTCCATCGTTTGGAAGCAGAGGAGCCAACTTTCAAAAAGAGTTTTGGAAATGAGTTGCAAATGTTAACTAATATATGAGACCGAAACATAGTAAAGCTTTATAGGTTCTGTTTGCACAACCGATGCATGTTCGTGTATGAGTACATGGAAAGGGGAAACTTGTTTTGTGCCTTAAGAATTGATGCCCAAGCTATTGAATTGGGATGGACTCGGAGGGTAAACATCATTAAAGGAATATCACATGCTCTGTCATATTTGCATCATGAATGCACCGCACCTATTGTTCACTGAGACATATCGAGCAACAACATTCTACTGAATTCTGAATTGGAGGCTTGCGTTTCTGACTTTAGCACTGCTAGATTGTTATATCCCAATTCATTGAATCAAACTGTAATTGCAGGCACTGATGGATATATTGCCCCAGCACTACAACAAAAAGCATTTTTGGCGACACTTTTTAGCAACCAAACAAAAATTTAGTTGCCAAAGATACATAATTGGCAATAGAATATTTGTGGTCACTAAGAAATAAACTTTTGGCGACGAATTTATAATTTTGGTCGCTATTGATTTTGGCGCCAAGTGAATATCTTGCGCGGGAGCGCAAAAAAATTTTTAGCGACCAAATTAATTTATAACGACGGAAAATTTAGTCGCCAATTGTATTTGTTTGGCGACAAACATTACTTGGTCGCTAAAAATCTGAATAACATTTATGGCAACCGAATTAATTTTTTTCCTCTATACATAAATTATTGTTATTATTTTTTTAAAAAGAGCAAAAAAATGGTCTGAAATGTTTAAATATTAGTAATTTTTTTCAAACTCAATTATTCATGATAGATAAAAATTTCATGGAATCACATTGCATTAACTTTTTTTTATTGATCTTTTTGTTTGTGCAGAATTTGCCTACACCAAGGTAGTGAATGAAAAGTGTGACGTTTATAGCTTTGGAGTGGTGGCCATAGAAACAATCATGGGAAGGCATCCAGGAGAACTGCTCTCATTGTTGGCTTCGTCCTCTGCTCAAAACATAATGCTAATTGATATCTTAGACCCGCGCCTTCCATCTCCGACTAATCCTGTTGCAGTAAGGAACATTACTCTAGATGCTGCAGTGGCATTTGCATGTGTGCGTTCTGAGCCGAGATCTCGTCCAAAAATGCAAAGCGTATCTCGAGTTTCTTTCTTGTAGGAAGACTTTAGCTACACCTCTTCATGCAATTTCACTGCTACAGCTATGGAATCCAGAAATGTTACATCCGCAATCATCTAACGTAGTACATCCACGATCATTAGTGCAGTGAATCCTATATGAATCTATTAATATCTAACAATTATAAATGTATCATATCAATCAAGTAATAAATAAAATATGATATATATATATATATATATATATAATTAGTGTAGCTGCAATCAGAAAGCTAATTCCATAATTAGGATGGCTTTCAGAGTGGATAGTAAGGCTGAATGCAACTTGTCCAAATGTGATGCTATTTGCGCCAGTCCAAGGGGTTGAAGGAATGAGATTTAATTAATTTGTCCAAGCCTTTTTCTTTTTTCCTTTTTTCTTTTTTTCTTTTTTTTGTATGTGATATATTGGTCTCTTGACCTAATGAATACACCAGTATACATTTGATGATAATAATTGAGGTGCACAAGTTGAACAGTTTTGCAGCATCATAGTTGCGTTGCATTCATTCTGTTATTTTATGAATATATATATATATATATTCCTGTATCCCTATAAATGGTACTCAAACATTGCGGACCTTCCTTGGGGTTGATGCATATGAAAGAAACCTGCTATTTCCTTGCAATATTGTGAACCTTCCTCAAGTAATGATGTACAAACAAATTTTATTTTTTATTTTTTTGATGTGGGCGAATGCTTTAAAACAAAACATCTATGAATGATGATGACTTTTACTCACAAAAATGATAATTGTCACATCATTCTTGTGACATCTTACAATTTTCTTTTTCTGAGAAAGTTCTTAATTCTGAAAATGTTTGCTTTTCAGTCGACTTGTTGGACCTTGAATGAGTGCGGTCCATTGTAAACAATACCAATTGCCGAATAGGCAGTGACCACAGCCCCTTGATGGAAGGCATAGTGAAAGGCACAAAAGAATAGAAACTGGTCTAGAGAATCATCCATAACATGTGTTATGCACTTTTTCTCTTCTTATGACAAGTCAAAGTCGACGCCAATGTAAGTCGCTCCGTTCAAGTCAATGACTCCCTGTGCCTGGCTCGTCGTCGTAGGCACCATTACCAATACCAAAATATTCTTATTAACAACCTATTTAGCTTTGATAATGCATGCCCAATATTTTAGAGCTGTTACAGAGAACCTACATATATTTGCTTCAATTATGGGTGAAAAAAACATTTTGTCCTCCGTTTACTCTCAGGTACTCGTGGTAGTATACATGGTGATGACTATAATTACAGCACCAGCATTGCCTAAATCAGCATCATTGTCACCATCGTTTTCATTGTCAATGGAGGTGAAAGCTCTACTCGACAGCCGTTGGTGGGGAAATATTTCTTTAAGATACCACTGTTAGTTCACAACCATCACTTGCAATGAAGCAGGAAGTGTCATTGGGATTGGCCTTTCTCATGATCAATTCTTGAGGAAAAAGCTTGACGATTTGAATTGCTCTTCCTTGCCAAATCTCTAACGTCTTGGTTTCAGGTATTCTAACCTCACCAGAGTCATCCCTGATGAAATTGGTACTCTGTCAAGCCTCACCTACCTTGATCTCTCCTATAATAATCTCATTGGAAGTTTCCTACCTATTACCCTAGGTAACCTCACTCAACTAACCCACCTCAACATTTCTGGTAATTACATCAATGGTTCCATTCCTACAGAACTGGAAACTTTCAAAATCTGGTAGTTTTGGATACAAGTAAGAACAACCTCACCGGTTCAATCCTTTCATGTATCGGTCAGTTAACCAATTTGACCTCTTTACATCTCTATTCAAATCAACTTAGCGGTTCCGTACCTTTGCAAAAAGGGAGACTAATGAACCTGGTTGAAATGAATATGGGACTTAACAACCTTCAAGGTTCAATTCCTCCAGAAATAGGAAATTGGGCGCATTTGATTCTCTTGTACCTTAGCCACAACCTTCTCACAGGTCAGATCCCATCATCTCTAGGTCAATTGATGAATCTCAACTCTCTTTATCTGTCTGCAAATCAGATCGACGGAACAATTCCTCCTGAACTTAGGGATTTGCCCAGACTTGGTGATCTTGATTTGTCATCGAACCAACTTTCTGGCCACATACCAAACTTCCAAATTATAAGTGCAATTCAATATTTAGAACTTTCACAGAATCAGCTCAGCGGGACTCTCCCAAAGAAGCTAGAATAACTTGGCTATTTGAAGCACCTAGGTTTAAGTAACAATCATTTGAGTGGAACAATACCAACTGGATTAGCATCTTTGCCAAGGTTAGTATACTTAAATCTCTCCCACAATGATCTCTCTAATGAAATCCCCAGTGGTCTTCGCTTCTCTGTATGGTGGCGATCTGTTGACTTGTCACACAATGCTCTTGAGGGTCCAATACCACGTAGATCTCAATATGCACATCCAGAGAATGAAGAACTCATGCTTAATCTCCTCATTTGCCTTCCCCACATTGCAATTTTTCTCGCCTTAGTTGTATTTATGTTCTTTTATTGGGCTAAGGCTAAAACAACCAAAGCGTGCAAAGAGTGATTAAGAATGGAGATATGTGCTCAATCTGGAATTAAGATGGAAAAATTGCATACAATGACATCATTGCGGCAACAAATGATTTTGATATTAGATATTGCATAGAAACGGGTGGTTATGGCAGCATCTACATGTAGGACAATCTTCACTGTATTTAAATTAATTAAATTCTGTTGTGTACTAAACAACAACCAGAATATAAAGAAATAAAGAAAATGAGAGAATTTGTTTGATTACAAAAATCAAACTCGAAATAATAAATAAATAAATAAAACCACAGATTTTATTTTGTTACAAAAACAAAAATAAAATCTGATTAAATAAACAAATAAAAACAGAATAAAATTAAACATAAATAACTTACTTGATTTAATTATTGAATAACTTTTTCTGAGGTAACAGTGTTAACACTGATCCTTAAAGAACAAGATTCGAATCCTCTCCACGGTGCTTTTCAGAATTTGGGACGTCTATCTCCCAGGATGAAATGAATCTCACCACAAACAATAAGCAGCACTACAAATTTTTGCCTTTACGAACACACTAAGTGTTTACACTCTTTCTTAGAATAAAATGCAGCAAGATGAAGAATATAATTAGCAGAAGTGAAATACGAAATTTTCTCTGATGCAAAATATCAAATGAGGGTGGTCCTATTATAGATGTAAAGGTGGTTCTTGGTTTTAAATTGAACAGGTATGATTACCTGTGGTTTTGAATTCAAACAGAGTTTGAATCTGTTGATGCATTCTAACAGATAGCAAAAACGGGAAGGCCTGTTTGGGTGTTGCACCTAATTCCAATGAGTTTTATTTCTGCTCTTGAAATACGGGAGGGCCCTGTTTTGGGATGGAAAAAAATTCAAACCAGTTTAATTTTGAAATTCTTGATTTTATGTTTAATTAAAAAATAAAATTAAATTCAAAATGTTCCTTTGGCCCAAAAAGATAGAAGGCCCAACCGGAATGGACGGCGGCGGCGGCGCAGCGCGCGTGTGTGGTGATTTTTGGGTCCATGGGTCTAGCCCATTTGCCCATAACCTCTCCCTCTAAAACACTTTGGGTACCCCTTGGGGCACACCCCTGGTCCTACCTGCTCACCTCTCGGAGCAAAAGCCTGCTGCACGACTGGGATGACGAAAGCTCCCGGATTGGCCCTCGAGGCCTGCACAGACTGAGCTGGCTGAAAACCCTGCGTCTGTCTAGAAACCAGACGCTCCCGAAGTGGCACTCAACTGCGGACAAAACCTCTTCATGTGCCCAGGTTGTCCACACTGAAAACAAGTCAAGAGCTGCCCCCTGCCTAAACTCTGACTCTGCGGTCTAGCTGAAGAAGAAGCAGCTTTCTGACCCCACCCCTTCTGCGGGCAAACAGATACCTTGTGACCCAGCTGGCCACACTTGTAACAGTGTGAAATCCCCCTGACCACCTCTCCCGGACCTGCACGGCACTGGGAAGGTCGATCTAGCAACACCACCTGCGACTGCTGAGGGTTAGAACCCCTCTGCCTCCTGCCATCACCCTGACTATCCTGGCTCCTCTTGGAGCCTCTCTGCCCTCATCCTCCTCCTGCATCATGAGCTCCATATGAGCTGCAGCGTCCACTAGGTGTCTCTATACTCTCGAATATAAAGACCCACCAATTCTCAACTTGAGGCCCCGCCTCAACTTCCGCTCAAACTCATAGCAAACGCGTTCTCAGACGCCACCAGTTCAGGTGCAAACCTAGACAGACTGGTAAAAGTAGCCTCAAACTCGCCACTGACACAGCTCTGCTGATTTAAGCCGGCTAAACTGATCCCTCAGCTTCTCCCTAGCTGCTGCTGATAAAAAACCTCTCCTGAAAAGCATTCACAAACGCCTCCCAAGTACCGACCAAACACGAGCTTTCTCGTACTTCCACCATTTGACCGCATCTCCCTTCAGTTGGAAGGATGCAAGGTCACTTTCAGTGCTCCGTCCTCTGATGCCAAGCATCTCAAACGTCTTCGTTGTCTGTTCGAGGCCATTCATCTGCCTTAAGCGGCTCTTTTAGGATCCCCGATAAACTCGTCCGGATTACACCGAAAGAACTCCCTCTTCAAGAAGGAAGGCCCTATCTCAGCTGCCTGATTCCCAACTCTAAGAATACCTAAAGCTCCTGCTATCTCTCTGGCCAGGCACCCATAGCCGGCTGACTACTGGCTCGGCCACATTGGCCTGCCCAACTCCCTCCTGCACTGCCGGAATCTCACCCTGTACGGTACTCCTGTCCGCAGGTCTACCACGCCTAGCTCCTCTTCCTCGTCCTGACATCCTAATAAAGGCAACACGAACATTAGCACATTCACGAATGTGCCGAAACTAAACACTCACGTCCTAATGCATGGACAACTGTAATTCCTCCACATAAGCACATAAACACATAGCACTTTACGAATTTCATTTCCGGATAATGATAGTCCCGAGACGTTACTAGAGTTCCGTTAGAAACAGCGTTGATCAAGTGCTTTTCCAACAAGACTCCCAGAAACTCAAGGATCCAATCAACATCCTAGAAATTAAATCCCATACCCACATAGTCACATAGCATGTTATCAAATAAACACATAGCATAATGTACTACTTTCTACGTCTCTATCAGCGAAGACCACCCATTGTGATACTAATCACTTCCCACGTACCCAAAGTATTCGAACCCGGTACGCTCTGATACCAAGTTGTAACGCCCTCAAAATAACAACATTAAACCCATCAGAAGAGACATGCATTTACATATAAACTAACCACATTCTTTTATACATTAGAGTTCCGTTACAATAAGTATTACATGTTAACATCAAAACAAAATGCCCACGGGCTTACAGCTTTCCAAGTTAACACTTGGTTACAACAAAAAGTACTAACTCGTTTTACACATTAAGCCCTTGGCTTGAAGTTACATGTAATACATCAAAAGTAAAACGACTACACTATGTCCGCCTCTATCCTCCCAAGCTATGTCCTTGGAGGTTGGCATGCTTCCTGTACACTGAAAATGATGTTCCCATATAGGGTGAGCCACAGCCAGTAGAAATACACTAAACCAACCATGAACAATGACTAAAATATTAGCAATTGATAGATGGTCAACACTGATACATTCACATAAATTACACATTTATGTCGTACGACTTATGAGTCCAAGCTTCCTTTCCATTTGCCCTTTTTCAACAGATAAGCATGCTAGCTCATCATCATTTCACAGATATGTATAAAAACTATATCCCACATTCAGATAAGCATACAAGCTATATCCACAATCTCAACAGATATGTATAACCACAATATCCACAGATAAGCATAGGAGCTGTAATCCACACATCACAAAGATAAGCATTATAAGTCTATCTTCACTTCTCTAGACAAGCATATGAGCTATATCTACGGAGTTCATCCCCTATCTTTCCCAACACTATCCGGTTTAGAGGTACATCCCCTATCTTCCCCTAAACCGCGGAGTACATCCCTTTCTCCTCCTCTACACATAACGTATACAAACACCAATGGTTCTATATACAATCACTCAAATACATATAGTTAATGTATTCAATCAACCGTCACAGTTCCATGACACACTTCATTGATTAGTTTCAGTTTGCCTAATCAACATGCATTTCTACAACAATCACGACTATCCTCCACGATAGCCCAAAGCAGATATTTCTAAACAGAAAATAAATGCACAATGGATATTCAATCACATTTCATTTCCTCATTTTCTCAATTAATTATCCCAATTAATTAAACAATGTAATTAGGTCAATTCCCATATATAACATTCAACCCTTAGGTCCCATTTCATCAATAATTCAACATTAATTCCATTTTCCATGCCAAACATGCATCTAGGTTTATTATGAATAAAACCCCAACTTTTGTAAATTACGCAAAAGTCCCAACTTTCACCAATTACCAAACCAAGCCCAAACATCTCAAAATGCCAAAATTTAAAGACAAAACCCATAGAGAGGAGTAGGTTATCCCTACCTCAAATTCGGAGTCCCAAAGGAGAAGACGACAAAACCCAACGTGCTCCAAAACCCGTGATTTTCAGATTAAAAAGTAGCCCTCGACGATCAACTACCTTTTTGTAAAGGCCAAAGGTGAGCAAATCACTCCTACTAGATCAAAACCTAGAGAGAAGGTAGTATCTAGAGAGAGAGTCTCAACAATGGTGTTTTTGGAAAAGTAAGAGAGAGAAAAGAAAGTGAAAAAGTGATTTGAAGAGTCACAAATTCGGGACTTTAATCCAGGTCTACGCTCGAGCGTAAAACACCCCGCTCGAGCGGCCACTCACAGACTTACGCTCGAGCGGCCAACCTCCCGCTCGAGCGCAGAATGCACTCGCCCAGCACTTTTGCAGAACCAGGCCTCCGCTCGAGCTCCCAACCCTACGCTCGAGCGGCCACTCACACAGATTCGCTCGAGCGGCCAACTCCACGCTCGAGCGTACAACACTGCACAACAAATACTGGATGGGTGTATTATCCGCTCGAGCGCCAACACCTCCGCTCGAGCGTACAGGCCAAAAATCTGGGCAACTAGTTTTGGTTTCTAAACTCAACCAACCTGTAACCAACCCGCCCAACACATCCTATAACTCAAATACAAAGTAAGAAAGGATGTAAACA